CTTAAGAATATGTACAAAAGATTCATTATTGTTTATTACTGAATATGTATTTGATTGAATTAATTTTTATAGATGTGAAATGAACAATGCAAATCATTAATAATTCGTAGAATATTAAAACACACTCGAGGAGACAAGACAGCATTGTTTTCGAGAGTGACGATGGTTCTACATAAGAAACTGAAGAAAATAAGACCCTGGTTGTAGCTGTAGTGAACTTAATTTAAAAAAATTGAATACCTGTATGTATGTTTTAAGTAATGTAGTGAACTTAATTTAAAAAATTGAATTCTTTTATGTATGTTTTAAGTAATGTTATTTAATGTTAATAAATGGAACACTGGAGGTAGCTAACCACTAATGGTAAAGAAATAAGGCGAGACATTTGGGAACACCAACGTATGAACAGTAAGTGCTTACATGTGAAAACATATCATTTCTCTACATATGAATATGAAAGTTTTAAATAATATTTCTGAATGTAAAAAAAAAATTCTACTCACCAATGGTGGTAAAGTCTAAAACATAAGGACAGCCAATGAATATTGTGCGAGTTTTTACTCAGATGAACAAGTGGTCAGGTACAACTCTGGCTGAAGCTGTACCTTTCCATAAAGCTGTTGCTGAAACTGTTACTGAATCTGAAGTTGATGTTGAAGCTGCTTATGATGCTGCATTTGATGGTGTAGCTGAAGTTGATGGTTTAGGCCTTCGAATAATAAAGCTGTCAAAAGAACCTTGCACAGCTGCTTTCTTTTCTCGTTATACATCTTTATGTTGAGGTCATTTGCATTTATTTAAATTTTAATGCTTTGTTCTGTTAATGGATCCACTTCAGAAAATATGTTCATTGCTTGCTCCATATAATGTCCACAGACCTCTCACCTTTTTCATATCTTTTAAACACATCTAGTTTCTTGGCATATCTTATACACTTTCTATTAGCTTTTGAAACAACACTACCATCACTTGCTCTCTTGCTCATGCTGAATAGGGATGCAAAAATGATGTAAGAAACCTGAGAAAGTTTTTCTCCTGTTCCTGTTCCAGATGCGTGAAAACAAAAGGCCCGCCAAGCTCCGACTGTTGTTTACCACTCATTAGCAAGGCAGCTTCTTTGCACAAGGCGCTCTTAATTTTTTTTTTACAGTAATTTTTTTCCTTTTAATACATATCGGGATTTAATTATTATTTATATGAAAATGTAATTTTATTTTATTTTTATTAAATTTGGTCGTAAATACGAATGAAATAAGGACGTAAACTGAATTGGGTCCTAAATTAACTAGGGTTTTAAATATCAAAAGTTGTTGGTCGAACTGTTGTTATCGGAGGCTTTACTGTATTTGCACAATTATAAGCTGCATCTCTTTTTGCTCCAGAAATGTGGAAATTTGGGATGCAGATTAGAAAACTGTAGAACACTGAGGTCAGGCTTGTTGCTGTTGAAGTTGAGGGACCTATTGGTCAACCCTACCGAGTATCCAAAATCCTTAATGGTGTACTAGAATATTGAAGCATTTACTGGTAACAGCTTCACTATAATCACTTTTTTTTACTTTGAAATAATGAGATTAATATTGGTATGGAAGATTTAGGTGGATACAGTACATGACAAATGTACATTACCATTTTAAGGTCAAGGAAGTGGACAGTTATTATTCTAATTTTGTCATTGGAACATGGGGGGACTGTACTGGGGCCGCATACTCAAAAACATTTACGGGACTGTATCTGTTTGTTTACCCCGTAACTGGACTTACAGTCTCCGAACGGTATACGCAAAACAAATATTTGGCAGCGGACTCCGTAAGTGATATACAGTGGGGTATGCTATAACGAATCTAATTGGTTCTAGAACCTTGTTCGTTATAACATTCTTTCGTTATAGTATTAATCCGTTCCAGGCCCCCAAATACAACCGCTTAACACTGAAAAATATAATATAAAATTGTAAAAATTTAAAAAAAGTGCATAAATATGCATCTAAACCCCTGAAATAAAGAATATCATTCATACTTGTAATAAAAAAACAATAAATTAGTAAAAAAAAAAAAATTTAAATAATGTTCGTTGTAGGAGTTTCGTTCGTTATAGCATTCTCAATTTTATAGGTAAAACCGTTCGTTATAGGAATATTCGTAGTAGGATCCGTTCGTTATAGCATACCCCACTGTATATATTTATTTATTTATTTATTTATTTATTTTGGTCATTGGTTAACCATAGTCTTCAAGTATTACTGAAACATAATTCCATCTTCACTAATGACACTTGAGGTACGTCTAGCAACTATCACGTGCGTCGATCTCAGCTGATATCTCCTTCTCTTTTGATTGGTTGATGATTTTGTTAACTGAGCGACGATTGGCCAACTAGCTCCTGCATTGACATCTACCTTCGGACAAGAGAACTGAATTTACAGGGTAAACACTAGAGTTATGGACTGCTTACGGGACTGTAATTAAATTTTGAGTATGAAAAATTTACGGGACTGTAATTAAATTTTGAGTATGAAAAATTTACGGGACTGTAACGAGTCTGTAAGTTACGGTACTGTAGTTCTGCTACTGTACGTAACTGATGAGGTGTTTTGAGTATGTGACCCCTGTATAAGGATGGCTTGTTGATCCAACAGAGATTGGAACATGGAGGACTGTACTGTACTCTACTGTACAGTAAGATCTTGTATTTCGTGAGTAATAATGACTGGCAAAATTCCACCAAATTCAAATTCGCCAAATGCAAATACATGAACTAATGGGAAAAATAACAACATAGACTGGCCACTCTACAGCAACTTCCGATTTTCCCATTTATAACCTCCAAATGATACAATTCTGCCTTTATTGACTTGATTGTGCTTTCCGGAAAACCAGTAATCTTTCTTATCTCACTAGTTTTTAGGCCTTCCTCAAGTAACTTAATCACACGCTGCTTATCCTGCATCGAGCACTTGGCAAACTTAACTCCCTTACGATAGTCCCACTTCTCCTTTTCGGTATTTGGCCACTTAGGTGGGTCTGTCCCACCCCCATCATTATCTTGACTTGACAGGTGGTAGCAACCACCCTAAAAAAAGCACACAATAACAGCCTGGGCGGTCGCTAGGATGGCGCGGGCTACAACGCGATAATTGTGTTCTTGTAATCCTCTTTTATGTTCACCACCGGCAACTAGATCACCAGAACGCTTCTTGGAAACATTCTTCTTACCTCGTCTTTCCATATTCATCACTAACACAACAAAATTGGAGAAAATGGCAAAAATCACGGAGCAATCGACAGAAACCGCGTGATTCAACTGATCACATGATGTAAACTGAGCGCTGGTGTGAACCGTTATTAGTCCGCACTGCGAAACATTCTTTTTACTTGTTCTTTTCATACAGTATTTATGGGTAACAGCTAAATTTGCAAAAAAAGAAAAAATTTACAGAGTACCTCTCAAAAAACACTTCACAAACAAAATACACGAATCAATTGAATGTGTGATGTCGAACGTGAACTGCAAAAATTGCATAACCCCGCGCCACGCTTAAAACGTTGAGTATGGAATCAAAACATTGAGGATGGAATTGCGCTATAGCCAACATTCGTATGCAAAATTTTGCCTTTTACAAACAGTGTTCCCCTATTCATCAATCGCGTTACAACCAATTCGCGTTGACAAAACACACGTTGTAGCAGAAATGACTGTAACTAGTATGAGGGCTGTGACATCATTCAAGACGGTGGCCAGCATTTAGCTTGCTGGATCTCGCGTTCAGGTGGCTGGATCTCGCGTTCAGCTGACTGGATCTCGTGAAACTCACGATATTTTACACCAAATATAAAACTTGGTTACATAAGGTAGTGCTCGCGAAATTCTAAAACGCGAAATGAAATCGCACGAAATATGAGATCTTACTGTACTGTACTTGTATCTGATAGTTAGTCACACTTCCACTTTTACCTAATATTTATTATATAGATATAGATAAACAACATAGATATAGGCATAGACAGCAGCATAAGTAAATTTGCTGATGACACTAAAATAGGGCGTGTAATTAAATCTGACGAGGACTCTGCAAAACTACTACAGGAAGATGTAAACAAATTTTTTGAATGGTCTGAAAAATGGCAGATGAAATTTAATGTGGATAAATGTAAAGTACTTTGCCTAGGCGATCTAAACAGAGAAACCAGATATCAGATGAACAACGTTGTTATAGAGAAATCCAACTGAGAATGATTTAGGAGTAATGATAAGTAGGAATCTTAAGCAAAGTAAACAATGTGTATTTGCTCTTAAACAAGGCTAACAAAGGATTTGGGTTCATACAAAGGAGTGTGAATTACAAGACTAGCGAGGTTATCCTAAAACTATATCTTGCTCTTGTGAGACCTCACTTGGATTACACAGTTCAGTTCTGGTCACCGTGGTACAGAATGGATATAGAATCACAAGAAAGAATTCAGAGGAGAATGAAAAGACTAATCCCGGGCATTAGGAACCTTGAGTACAGGGACAGGTTAAAGCATCTTAATTTGCACTCGCTCGAGAGATGCAGAGTGAAGGGCGATATGATCGAGGTTTATAAATGGAAGTCAGGGCTAAACAAAGGTACTCAAACTAGCCAATAACACAGCATTATTTGAATGACTGACAGATTTGTTAAAACATTGAAATATGTAATGATTGAGATTTGTGGGGCTTTGTACTGAGTTGTCAATGCTGACAAAGTGTTAGGGTCTAAAAGAAAGTATTTTAATATCAGGGAACATTGATGAAGGATTGTGTACAAGTTGGTGCTAAGAACAGTCTGAAGGTGGCAGTAATCTTTCTTGCTCAAACAATTATACTTATATCTTATATCTTTAAAAATCTGCTCAGAAAAAGGTAGGATGTATTTCATTGTAAGTAGTGTTAATAATTAACAAATACCCTGCAACTTCCTTATTTTATTTACAAATACCTTTAATACATACTGAATTAAAAAAACCCTAATTTTGCAGGTACTTGGCTCTGTGCGTGTTCCACTTTATACAATGGGAAACATGTACTCGGGATTACCAGCCTTTCTGAACAACAGGTTTGTTGGTACAGCAAAACAACAGTTGCTCTTGGCTGTGCATCATGTGAAAATTTTGACAGAAGTTGAGATAAATGAAGTTATGTACAAGAGTAATAATCTTAAACTTGGTCCTAATAGAATTTAGTCAGTATGCTCTTTGATGATGTGTTCTCCATTTCTCTGTTGTTAACAAAAATACATAATTGTGATATTTTTTGTTGGTACCTTTTATTATCTAAAAAATGTAACCCAATAAATAGTTTGAAGTGAAGTATACTGACCAAAAAATATCCAACTCCTGGAGATGTAGACTGTAAGAATGTTTTTTATTATGGTTTCAATAGAGATATAATTGTTGTACTGTTAAACATAGTGGGAATGAAAGTTAATGTAACTCAAATGTTGTGAGGTCAGAAGGTTTTAAGGAATAGTTCAACCTTGATTTAGCTGATGAATTATGGTTTTGTTTGTGAGTAATGTAGATTGTGTTCAGACTGAAACTTAGGAGTACTGGTGTACCCCGATAACCGATGCATATAGGGACCGGGAAAAGTCATTGAATAGTAAATCAATGGTTATCAAAGCATTTAATCCGATAAGAACATAATAAATTCAGGGGATTAGGGACCGGCCACCCTCCAAAATCTCCCATCTACTCTTGATATATATATCTGTCATGCAAAATGTCAAGCAAGAAAGTAAAGCGGATACAGGATATATAAAGCAAGCATAATAAGCATTAAATAAGTAATGTAAAGCCTAAATTGAAACTGTTAATTACCTGTGTTGAGGATGGTAGAAACAGTCTAGGGTGGCAAGTTGATGTCTCTACCACTCTTTGTTGGTCCATCACAACTCTTATTATGCCTTATGATACCTCATCATATTGTAGCATAGGCTATGTAGGAGATCTCGCACTAAGGATGGAGGTGAGAAGGGAAACTCACTATGGCATTTTACATATATATATATATATATATATATATATATATATATATATATATATATATATATATATATATATATATATATATATATATATATATATATATATATATATATATATATATATATATACACACACACACAGTTAACCCTCACTTTACGCGGTTAATGTAACCCGGAGGGTACCGCGGAAAGCGAGAAACGCGTAAAGTGAATAACATAACATATGGGATTAATTGAAATGGAGTCCAGGCCGATCCCCAAACTCCACTTTTTGACGACACATAACTATGTTGTAGTAAAAATAACATCTTAATTTTATGATGGTACATGCACACAATTAATACTTAAGAGAAATAGAGAAATACAGTCGCCAAGTTAATGTCCATTCAAATAATGGACACGACTCCCTCCCCCTCTTCTCACACTACACTGCCTGGCTCTTCCCTCTGAGAAATTTTGGGGGGAAAACCAGGTATAGTAATAAATAATACCTCAAACTAAAGTTAGGATAATATAATTGACATTGCTGGATTCCTTGTAAGACCAGGAATATTTTGAATATAAATGTCATATATTTTTCACAAAAGATAACATACTTACTCAGATTAAACATTTTATCTAAAAATTTTATGTCTAATGCAAAATATATGATGTTTATATTCAAAATGATCACCAAATTGTAAGAATTCCAGCAATGTAAATTATATTCTGGCCGGGTAATTTGTATGAATTTTATGAGCTAAAACAAATATCTTCAGTTAATAAAAAAAAAATATTCTTCACGACACTATCTGTCAATCAAAGTACCCCACCTTGCCTCCCCCCCCTCTTCCAACCGCGCGGTCAGTCCCAACCCTCCCCCCACCACTCCTCCCTTCAAGAGAGAGTGGGTGAAAAATTTAGATTTTAACATTTTGTATTAAATAATACCTCAGATTAAAGTTAGGATAATATAATTGACATTGCTGGATTCCTTGTAAAACCAGGAATATTTTGAATATAAACGTCATATATTTTGCACAAAAGATAACATACTTACTCAGATTAAGCATTTTATCTAAAAATTTTATGTCTAATGCAAAATCCGTGATGTTTATATTCAAAATGATCATCATATTGTAAGAATTCCAGCAATGTAAATTATATTCTGGTCGAGTAATTTGTATGAATTTTATGAGCTAAAACAAATATCTTCGTTAATAAAAAAAAAAATATTCTTCACGACACTATCTGTCAATCAAAGTACCCCACCTTGCCTCCCCCCCCCTCCTCACACACGCCAGCTGGGTCGGTCGGTCCCAACCCTCCCCCCCACCCCCCACCTTCCCTCCCTACCAGAGAAATGTTTGGGTGAAAACCTAGATTTTAACTTTTAGTAATAAATAATACCTCAGACTAAAGTTAGGAAAATATAATTGACATTTCTGGATTCCTTGCAGGTCAGGGAATATTTTGAATGTAAATTTCATATATTTTGAACAAAAGATAAAATATTTGCTTTGTGTAAACCAAATTATTACATTAGATCTAAAATTTGTATGTCTAATGCAAAATCCATGATGTTAATATTCAAAATGATCATCATATTGTAAGAACAGCAATGTAAATTTTATTCTGGCCAGGTAATTTGTATGAATTTTATGAGCTAAAATATATATCTTCAGTAAATAAACAAAGAAATATTCTTCAAGGACACTATCTGTCAATCAAAATACCCTACCGCTGCCCTAGCTGGGTCGGTCCCTCCCTCCCTACCAGTGAAGCTCTCACTCTTAGGGGGAAACATTTTATAAATATATGCAGGTGAGTGTGGACTGTTCACCTGTAGTAGTAGTCCTTATATTGCATGCCAGACACTTCAGTTTAACAAGACGTCCATCAAGCTGTATTAATGTATGTATTGTTAGTGAAGGGTCTTGTGGTCACCGCCTCAAATGTTGTCTATCTAAACCTGAAACAGAGATGAGAGTATTTGGTGCTACTATAGTGTGTGTGGGGCTACTATATATTTCGGTTAGGTTAGGTGGTATTATTTCACTTGTTGCCACTAAACAAACCTCAGGAATATTATAGTTACAATCAGTAGTTTTGACAATTCTAAGACACTTTTCTTCACTGGTAACTCTGGCGCAAATTACGTTTCAGCGAGATGGTTAACATTTCATTATGTATGTTTGTACATGGCAGTACACACCCAGAGCATGGAACAACTATGGAGCCCCTCAATTAGGTTAAGTTGTATTAGATCCCAAACTATTTTTACAATGTTTTTCGATGTGTTTTACTTTTATCCTCTTCGCTACTGATTGGCTTATTAGCCGCTTGGGCGATCGGTCACGTCTCTTTTCATTTATCTTCTTCACCAAAAGATCGGCTCGCTAGCCGCCCGGGCGATCGGTCACGTCTCTGTCACGCACTGTTGGCAAATACTAGGCATGCACCGGCTCCTGAATGTACACTTTTAACCTTGATTTTTATAGCAAATCTCTAGATTCTGAGATGGGAGGGTAAGGGGCTTATCTCAGAAACTAGTGATTTGTGCCAGAAATTAAGATCAAATTCGTTCATATTACATCAAAAACCATCGGAAAAACATGGTTTAAACTTTGATTTCGTCTAGTGGCAACAAGTGAAAGTTTACCGGTAATATTAGGTTGGGTTAGACTATCTTTGTAGACCTGACACTATAATAGCACCGAGTTTGTCTTGTACTATAATCATATATACTGTGTTTACCCTTCCCTCACTTGTTGTACAGTATATTGCTGTACAGTACAGTACAGTGTAGGGGAAACTTCTTACCCGATAAAACTTTCACTGGTAATTATTGACTGCTTTCCCTTCACTGATGTTTCATAGAAAATGAATTAAAACTTACCACAGTTTCACTGTGTTTCATGGGCTTTGTCTCAATTTGAGCAAATGTAATAAAATGGGTTATTTCTATATTAAAGCTACAAATTGCTTCACTAATGATTATTTTACTTACAGGACTATTAACCCCTTGTGTTTGGGGTCACCTCTTAGTTTAATTAAATTGTCTTGTGTTTCTCAAGTGAAATATTAGGAGTGGCATCCCCATAGTGAAGGTGTCAGTGAAGGCCTCTAGTGCCCTGGCTCCCCTCTGAGCTGAACAAAATCATCTAGTTTTAGCCAAATAAAATCATAGTAGTAAAAGGTTATTGTACATCTTGACTATAAGCACGTCTGTATTGAATGGACTATATAGTAGTTCGTTTTATCAAAGGTTTGTTCTTCATATATGAAACCTCTAGAGCTGGGGTCGGCAACCTTTTGAACACACTGTGCCAGTTTTCAACATTTCTACTGCCCTGCGTGCCAACTATAATCTTCAGTACGCAAATTATTGTATTGTAATTGTATTTTGATAAATAATGCTTTCATACATATTTTAAATACACACAATTACATATGAATGATAAGAAATACAGTATAATCAAATTTTATAAAATGCTCTCACCATTTTTGTGTGATCCCTGTCCCTGCTTCTCCTCGCTCAGCATTGCTATGTCAGGAGTATATCTGGACACCTTAAGTTGCACACACCCCTCGGAGTGATCTTATGAAGGATCCACACAGTAAGCCCAGACCAATGATTTGTTGTGAATTTAGAACATTATTAAAGTCATCTGTGAGTGATATTTTATGACTAGTTATGCATTTCAACCAAAATTAATAATGTATCAAGACCAGAAAAAGTACTGTTGCATCATTTTAAGTTGGTTTAAGCTATTTTCTTGTTGTAAATATTTGGCACTGTTGTTCCTGGGGACCATTCTATCATCTGAACTTTTTTATTATCTGGACATCTATGGGTCCCAAGGTGTTCAGATACTATGTTTTACTTTTATCCTCTTCGCCACTGATCGGCTTGTTAGCCGCTTGGGCGATCGGTCACGTCTCTTTTCATTTATCTTCTTCACCAAAAGATCGGCTCGCTAGCCGCCCGGGCGATCGGTCACGTCTCTGTCACGCACTGTTGGCAAATACTGGACATACACCGGCTCCTGAATGTACCTGAACCCGCTCCAGTGTTGGTCAAGTCTTGTCTTGAAAGAGCTCACACTCGGTGCCATCACAACACACTCTGGTAGATTGTTCCAAGAGTTTACAACCCTCACTCCGAAAAGTTTACCCTCACGGTTTTCTGGACTTGCGGCTTCTTCAATCTTGAGCTGTGACCCCTTGTGGGGCGAGCGTCCGCCAGCTCCAAGTAAGGACACTCAACTGAGTAGTGCCCCCTGAGATGCTTATACTCCTCAACTAGGTCCCCCCTTGCCCGTCTGTAGTATAAGCTAGGCAAGTTCAGGCGCTCCAATCTCTCAGGGTAGCTGAGGTGCCGAAGTGCAGGCACCAGTCTGGTTGACTGTGTACTGTTACCATGGCGATAAAAATATTACCAAGGTCGGATTCCTGCAATATGATGGAGGCATCAGCTGAAGGAGCTAAACTGTCAATTTGGCAATCTTCAAACTCAAGCTCCACACTCTTCAGACTGGCTGCCGATGTTATTAATTCATCGTATTTGGGCGGTATAAGTGGTTGGCCTCCACCTGTCACAGGCTTCTTCAGAGTATATTTGCTTGATTCTTTCTTCATCCTAAAACAGGAAAATCAAGTGCTTTGTTACCTTCAATACTTCTTATTTATATGTGGAGTGAGTCTTTATCTCATGATAACACAGGATAGTATAGCCTCACTAATTCGAATTTTGGATAATTCAAACAAA